CTTATATGACATGTCATTACCAAATACTTTTTCCCAGTCTGTGGCTTCCCTTTTTACCCTGTTGGAGAAGTTTTTGAATGTGCATAGGGATTTGATTATTAGAAGGTCCCATTCATCTATTTTATCTTCTCCTGATTGTAGATTTTTCAGGATACTTGGAAGATTGTTTATGCAATGTTTTGTATGTAGGGTTGATCTGAGTAAGAACCAACAGAATAGCACTGAACCTTAGACAGTAACTTAGGGGTTTTTGGTGCTCAGATATAATGTCTCTTAATTTTAGCCAAAAACACCCTATACATAAAGTCCTATTGCTTAGAAATAATAATAATGGCTACATGCTTGCAATTTAGTCAGTATGCCATGAAATGATAAAATCCAAAACCACCTTAGATTTGAAACATAATTTTAGTAAGAATGAATCCATATCCCATGTGAAATTCTGCAGCTTGATGAGTGCTACTCAATTCAGAATACGAAAATAGTGAGAAGCTTTCTGATACTCAGTTATTGTTAGCATCCTCACAACAAAGAATGAATAAAAATGACATTAAAAATGAATACTAGCAGCACAGCATTTAATTGCTTGGCTTCTAACAGAAAGATTGGCAAACCCATCCTCAAAGGCCCCCAGGAAGAAAGGCTTTTTAACTAGAAAATCCAATAGGGTAGATCTATTCTGATGCACCAGGTTGTTGTGAGACTAAATTGGATGGTTGTTGTTAGGTGCCAGTGAGTCAAGTACGATTCATGAACAATGAATCTGAAACCCATCTTATCCTGTACCACCCTCATCATCTCTGATATGATTGAGCCCATTGATATAGTCAACTGCATCAACTCATCTTGTTGAGGGTCTTCCTCTCTTTTGCTGACATCTACTCTTCCAAGAATTGTACCCTTTTCCAAGGTCTGACTCCTCCAAACAACTTGCCCAAAATATGTGAGATTAAACGTCATCATCCTCACCTCTAAGGAGCACCTTTGTTGTACTTTCTCCAAGATATATTTATTTTATCTTCTGAGAGCCCATGAAATATTCAGTACTCTTTTCTAGTACTACAGTTCAAAGATATTGATTCTTCTTCTGTCATCCTTAGTCATTGTCCAACTTTCAGATGCATATCAAGTAATGAAAAGATCATGGTTTAGAAATCATTGAACAATATTATGAATATCACAGGCAAGTAAAATCTTGCTGAAGATTATTTTTTTAAAAAAGAACACCCTAACAGCTGAAATAGTACACTGACAGAGAATTGCCTAAAGATCAAGCTGAATTTGGAGGAAGCCTCGGCACCAAGAATATCATTGTTGATGTCAGATAGACCTTGACTGAAAGCAGAGAATACCAGAATAATGTCTATTTGTATTTTATTGACTATGCCAAAGCATTTGGTTGTATCGATGATAACAAATTATGGCTAACATTGAGAAGAATGGAAATCCCAGAATACTTTTCTTGGATAGTATGCTTAAAATCAACCTTTATTGAGTCTATTTTCATGAGAAAGGTAATCGTCCTGCAAGGATAAAAATAGAGACTGCTTTCTTTCTCCTATATTCAACCAGAGCACTGAATCTGATAAAAATGTTTATCATAGGCCCTTCAAAGATCCCACATTTGTAAACTTCGAATGTTTACATTTCCTCTAGTGCTGCTGAAGATGCTGTACTGGGTTCTATCCTTCTGTCTTCTTGGAGGAAAACAGGGAGCTCAAAATGAGCAAAGACAGACGGGCTGCAGGGCTGCTGCTCAAGCTGTCTCAGTTGTCCGTTCATTGTCTCTTTCTATTATCGTTGCACTTTGAATGACATTTACCAGATCCAGACTCCCCCGGACTCTTGTTATTTGCGTGTCTTTTCTCACCTTCCACATGATCTGGACTGGTGTTTTCATTTGTTAAAAACAACAAGAACATTCACTGGGAAACTTTTGCTGGCACCGGTTCAGGTCATCATAGCTATTTATTCCCTGTCATAAACGATAATTCTCCATTTCCCTTACTCCCACGTCAGGGGAGTTGGTGGTTTCTTGTGGACAGTCAGTGGGATTTGAATGAACAGTGGAAGATTTTATAGAACTACTGAAAGATTATGTAGCAGGTTGTCATACTAAGAATACAACATAAAATACTCTGGGTCTTGATCATGCTTTGGCAGGGTAAGAAGAAATAGGCTTATAAAATAGCATAAAGGATTTAGAATTTGTGACTATACCTGAGAAAGAATTTTGAGGGAAGAAAACAAATCATGAGATTGGCTTAGTAAGGGATTTCCATTATGCGATTAAAAATAATAGCCCAAGATCTCTATAATTGGCTTCAGTTTGTGGTAGGTATGAAAGCTAGAAGGATTTTTGCAGACTTCTATCTAACTGATGCATGGAATTAATACTGTGGTGCTGGATGGCCAAGAGAGACTTGATATGCAAGACTCATAGAACTATAGACAAATAGATTTAAACATAAAAATGGCAATAGTATGAATGTTTCAAATCGTCTAAAGGAATGAGAGAACTTATGCAATGCAACTACTGAAAAATGCTTCTAGATGCTGAGCTCTACTGTCAATATTAATTGTAGACTAGTTTTGCTTATGTTATTGTTTTATTGTACTTTTGAGTCAGAACAGACAACCCATTGCTGACCCTGCTGTAGGGTTTCAGAGGCAGTTAATTGCAGGAGAGGAGATTGCCCATCCTTCTCCCATGGAGCAGCTGGTGGATTCTAACTGTGTGCCTTCAGGATTGCAACACAGCTTCTTGCCACTGGGAGAGGAACCCACAACATGAATTGACACAATAGCCACAACAATACGTTCCAACCTCATTCATGATCATAAAAATTGAGCAGGATTTGGCAATGTTTAGTTCTGGTATATATGAGGCTGTCATTGAGTCATAACTGACTCAATGGCAACTAACAATAACAAATAGTGGCATAATCATTCATACTGTTTAAAATATTCCAGGCCTTGATAGATCCTGGAAATATGATGATGAAATTATCTCCATTATTAAGATGGATGACCAGTGATCTGACATTCTTATGGAAAGTGTCACAGGAGAGTCATCAGAACAGGCTTCTAGTTTTATAGTTACCAGAATTATTTAAAAAAAAAAAGGAGAAGAAGAAAAAGAAGGCCAAATTCCATTCTACAGTGAAGCAGAGAGAATGAGTGTCAGCAGCTTCTTGGCAGGAGAAATTTAGTTGAGATTATCTGATATCTTATTTTGACAAAAATACTTTTCTAAGGACCACAAGAAGTTTCATATTTTTCCTTAAAACAAATTCAGCAAGCACTTACTAATCTTCTCATTAACTCATTGCTGTATAATCAGAACCAACTCACTGCTAAGTCTTCATTGGGTTTCTGAGGCTATCAATCCCATGAAAGGAGATTGCCCATCTTGCTTCAAGGGGTTGCTGCTGAAATTCATACCACCAGGGAGGAAGAGCTTTTGAATTGACAGCATAACTCCCTACGAACTCTGGAAAAACATGCAGTCTCGACTTGCAGCTCCAAGGGTAATTAGGGAAGTAGCATTAAGGACGAAGGGATCTTGGTTAGCAAGATTGCAAGACGAAGTTCTATGTCATCAGTCTTTGAAGAGATCTGGGCTGGGCACTTCCTTGTTTTCATTATACCTTGAGTCTACATTCAAATCTAGAACATGGCTCAATTTCTTATAAAAGAAATGTTATAGCTGAGGAAGGGCACTGTGATTTGTGATCATTGTTGTGCCGAGTGTTTATACTCAGAGAGGAACCAGAGACTCCTTATACTGGAAAAACATGGCCGAGAACTACTCTCTATAGAATGTGAGCCAGCAGCCAAGCAGCCAAGCTCTCTTTTCTTTCACTCTCGTTCAAACTCCTTGCATTTTTTTCCTCTGGGCAAAGCCTAATTACTGGAAATACAAGTTCACCAGAATGAGCATGTGATGGGACTGTGGCAGTTCCGTGTTGTAAATCTCTGAGAGTCCCACAGGCTCGGCAGTGGTTTGGGCCTCAGGCTGAGCCTTTGATGGTGTTGTTAGCACAGCTGGAATTCTGCTCAGCGTCATACATCCATCACTCCTGATGGGGTGGAATGAGAGGAAGCAGGAAAGAGGTTGGCCACTGGGCAGACTGCATGATTAGCTTTGAGAGAACTCAGAATAAATAGAGGAGGGATCTTGAAAGACAAAACTTGAGGTCATGATTCCCCAACAGTCCCTAAAATCTTAGAACTCTAGAACTGTTTTGGGTGAAAATGCTTCAGGGATCTTTCAGTGATTTTAATTTTTTTATTTAATTTTCCATTTCAATGATTTCATTTTTAATGTTAATAATTTTGTTAAAATAAATTTTCCTCTTCTAGAGATCTTATATGATGACTCTCAAGCTAAGACTAGCTTGGGCAACTTATAGCTCTACCCTTGATCTAGGCTGCGGACCTTACCACCTATGCAGCCGTATAGAGCCTAGAGTGAATGTAGTTATTACTGCATTACATAATATTTCCAGCTGGTTTGCAAATGATTTTGCCTTTCTTACTCTAAATTTGTGTTTCTCCATGAATGTTGGAAATGAAGAAACCAGAAGACAGTTGAGATTTTAATTATAAATTAATGACCATGTATTGTCCAAGGAAAAAAGATAAAAAGCAATCCACTATTCCCCCATCTCTGAAGAACTTCAGAGAACATGGACAGGATCTCTTCAGTTTTCTTTGACAAAATAGGTTTTTAGGAAACTACAAGAAAAAGATCTTTGACAGATGAGATTTGGGACTAGATTAAGAGGCAGAAAACCAGTCTCAGAACTTCTGCGAGTTCTTGACTTAAAAGCTTAGCAAAGATCAGTTCCTATATTTGCACATTGAAAGTGGCATTTGACTGTGATGCAAATATGAGCAAATGAAGCAATATCTTACTGTAGATATATAAAAATGAAGAATCCACTGAGATTCCCAAAGTGACCATGATTCCTTATCATCAGTTTCTTCTATTCCAGATGATCAGCTGAACTCAGAGGAGAAGAAGAAGCGAAAGCAGAGGAGGAACAGAACCACCTTTAACAGCAGCCAGCTGCAGGCTTTGGAGCGAGTCTTTGAGCGGACACACTACCCTGATGCTTTTGTGCGAGAAGACCTGGCCCGCAGGGTGAACCTCACTGAGGCCAGAGTGCAGGTAACTCATGTTGTGGGAGTCTGGCCCCTCATACCTGCTTCCTAGAGACATAATTTTCAGTTTCAATCAGGGCTGGCACTCAAAAGGGTTACAAATGTGGGGACAGAATCCTGTTTCTAGTTACTGTTTTGGCAGCCTAGTATCTTTTTAAAAAATAAGTAAATGCAATGCTTTAGGCAGGACAGCATTTTTCTTGTTTAATTCCCCTCCTCATTTTCCCTCCTCACTGTCTCTCACACTTTAGAATTCATGTAAACAATATGATGCCTCTGAGAATTTAGCTTTGTAGTCCCAGCTTGTGGGTTAAGCTCTAGAAAGGCCAGATGAACTCTACCCCTGTTGTTGTTGTTGTTATGTGCCGTCGAGTCGCCTGCGACTCATAGCGACCCTATGTACAACAGCCCTAAACTCTGCTCTGTCCTGTGCCAATCGCACTGTCTCTCACACTCCCATCCCAATTATCCCAGTCACTGAATCAATCCGCCTCATAGAGGGCCTTCCTCTCCTGCGCTGTCCCTCCACCCTCCCAAGCATGATGTCCCTCTCTAAGGACCGGTCTCTCCTCACTACATGTCCAAAGTAAGTTAGACGGAGCCTCAGAATCCTTGCCTCCAAGGAGCCACCCAGTTTAACCGTTCCGGCAGAAAGGTCAAACTCTACCCCTACAACACAATATTTCTTTCAGCCTTTGTGAAAGGGCAGATTTTCAAGACATTTATTATACATAATAATGGATACTAGTAAGAGTGAGATAGGAAACCATTAAATCCCCTGCACTTAGGAATTGCATTAAAAGCAAATTTAAAGGAGAAAATGAATTTATCCCCACAGTATTTCTATAAAATGAAGACAGATAATGGCAGATAAAATAGAGAGCACCATTTCTGCCCCTTAATATTAATCAACTGCAAGCCAGATGTTGGGAAACTATATTGTTGTTAGTTGCTATTGGTTTGGCTCCATTGCTGTGCCACGATCACTAGTGTGCTTGAGGTCCTGTTGTGGCTGTTGTGTGGTGCCTTCCAACTTCAGGGATTTATCTGTCATTATTGTATTGGATTGGATAGTATTGTGCTGTGCTCCAGAAAGCTTCCACTGGCTTAGTTTTGGAACTCTATCACAGCTTTCTTACCAGTCTTAGTCTGAAAGCTTCACTAAAACCTGTCCATGAGTAATTCTGCTCATATTTGAACTACTGGTGGCTTGGATGATGGCATTATAGCAACACACAAACCATCATATACAACAAATTTATAGGCTGGCATTGATAGAAAATGAATCTGTGATTCATAAAACTAATGGTGATCATAAAATAATAGCCAAAACCACCTGAGCCCTCACTTGCCAAACAGTTTTTGTAAATACTCTTGACAAATTAATATGCTTATTATAATTATGAAGTGGGTCGTATTCTTCATCTTGCAGTTGAAAAAACTGAGGCACAAAGAAAAGCTGCACAATTCTACCAAAGTCACACAGAAAGGAAGTGGCTAAATTGGAATTCAAACACCGATGTGCTGACCCAGAGTTTGTGCTTTTAACTACTACACACACTTTGAATAAATAAGAGTTTCTTGGTTAAATGTTTTTTCAAGGAGGGCTTTGTAGTCTTTGGTGAAAGTCAGATTACAGGAACTTTCTTGTCTTCCATGTTACCAGTTTTCAGCTGCTATTTTGATGAGAAGATTGGGCCACTTCTGTCTTATTCTCCTAAAGAAATTATTGTTAGTATATATATGTTTAGTCTGAGTTTGAGGAATTTCTTTCTGTAAATGATAACCCTGTTGACTAAGGGAAACATGAACTAGTTCATGTTCATGTGTTGAGGGTTGGAACTATGTCAGCTGTACCAACAGACAGAAAAGCATGACAAGCACTCATGAATTGAGAATAAGGTCCGAAGAGAAATTATAGAAGTGTTTTCTGTATGAATAATACCACCCAACAAAACAAACAAAAAAACCCCTCAAACTCATTGCTATTGAATTAGACCAACTCTTAGCTGAGCCTCCAGTGGGTTTTCAGAGGTGATACAAATTGCACAGGAAAAAGCCCATGATTCTTCCATGGTCAATTCCAACCACCTGCCTTTGGGTGGACAGTGTAACTCCTTACTCATGAGGTCACTTGTTATTGCCATTGAGTCAAGAATGATTTATAGCAACTCTGTGAACAAGAAACCAGAAGCCTGCCCTATCCTGTGCCATCCTTATCATCTCTTACATACTTGATTCCATAGTTGCAGCCATGATGTCAAGCCATCTCATTGAGGATCATTCCCACTTTTGCTGATCCTCCACTTTTCCAAGCATGATGTCCTTTCCCAAGGAAGGGCCTCTCCTAAAAGCAAGTCCAAAGTATATAGACAAAGCTTCACCATCCTTACTCCCAAGGAACACTCTGCTGCACTTTCTTCAAGATATATCTGTTCTTTTGTCAGGCTATGGGGCATCAGTACTCTGTTCTGCACCACAATTCAAAATCGCCATCTTTCTTTTGTCTTCTTTATTCATTATCCAGATCTCAGATGCATAGCAGGTGATTGAAAAGACCATGAGTTGCATCAGGCACATCTTAGTTTGTAAGCTTACATCATTGTTTTTCAGTACTTTGGAAAGGTCCCTGACAGCAGGGACCATTCCCAGTGCAATATGTCTTTTGATTTCTTGACTGCTGGTACTGATGTTGATTGTAAATCCAAGCGAGATGAAATCATCAACAACTTCAATCTTTTCTCCATCTGTCATGTGTTTGAGTATTAATTGGTTCAGTGGTGAGGATCTTTGTTTTCTTGATGTTGAAATGTAATCCATATTTCAGGCTGTAGTCTTTGATCTTCTGCAACAAGTGTTTCAAGTCTTCCTCACTCTCAGCAAGCATGGTCATGTCATCTGCCTAAGGAAGGTTATTGATGAGTTTTCCTCTTATCATGACACCACATTCTTCTTTATAAAGTCTACATTAGGCCACTAGAGTTGCCTAAAAATTAAGAGGGAAAATGATAGTAATAAAAGGAGAAAGTTGTCTGGGCTCTGAGGGTCCAATTGAAAATACATTAGAAGAAAGTATGGGTGAAGGTACAAACACTACTGATTCATAGTTCTTGAGGGCTCAGATAAGAGTAATGTATGGGTCTGAAATATATGATGTTGGTAAGGTAGATTTTGTTGTTAGGTGCCATAGATTTAGTATAATTCATAGAGACCAGATGAACAACAGATATAAACCCTGCTCTATCCTAAATCATCTTCATCAACTCTCAAATACTTGAGCCATTGCTATAATCACTGGGTCAGTGCATCTTGTTGAGGGTCTTCTCCTTCACTGACCCATCACCTTTTCAAGCATGATGTCCCTTTCCTGGAAATGTTGTTGTTATTAGGTGCCATTGAATTGAGTATGACTCATAGTGACCCTGTGAACAGCAGATCTCAATCTGTGCCATTCTCACAATTTCTGATATAGTGGAGTGAATTGCTGCAGTCAAGGTTGAGGGTCTTCCTCTCTTTCACTAACCCTCCACCTCTCCTGTCTCCTAACAACATGGCCAAAGTATGTAAGACAAAACTCATTGTCCTTGCCTCCAAGGAACACTCTGGCTGTATTTTTTCCTATCTGAGAACTGGACAATGGTGAAATAGAAGGTCAGCAACAAAGAGGATGACTCTTAGAGAGCTAGATTGGCGGGGAGGGGGGATGTCTGTAACTGGCCTCAAACATAGCAAGGATAATGAAGATGGTACAAGACTAGGTAGCATTTCCTGTTTTACATAGGACCACTCACTAGGAGTCAAAACTGACTTGATGACACCAAACAGTGTCTCACTGCTCAAAATTGACATAACTGTGAGATTTGTTTTCTTAAGTCTTTTCCTTCTAGTGGTACTTAATAAAAACTCTCCAGCTGTGCCATCAGCTTTTAATCTAAAATCTCTTAGTCTCTCTTTTGAATTTCCTTTTCTTGTAACTCCTGAGCTTGGCCAGCAGTGGTGTAATAATTGACTTCTGGGCAAAATGATCCCTTCAAGTATCCTTTTACCGTGGTGATTTTAGCTTTTTAAAGAAGGATATTTAAAGTATACAATGCTAGGCATGCTAATGCTGGAAATTCATAGCAAGTGTTAGAGAGGAATTTTTGGTTAGGGGACCATTTTGCCTCAGCGTAGCAATGGATAAATGCCTTAGTTATATGCTTTAATGATTTTATCTCCCCCTCAGTCTCACTGGCTTTCAGAACTATGACTTTTTCCTAAAGGAATAAGACAGAAACTTTCTCCCTCCTCATCTATGCAGTCTTAGCCTTTCTCAGTGTAAACCAACCTGTTCTGATTCTGATAGTCTTTCTTTGTTATCTTTGGTATTTATAGTATTTATAGCAGCACAACACATATTAGTTGAATTGTATGAAGGTCAACTTTCCTCATTCAACAGTAATGTCCTCTTGGATGGAAGCTGTGTCTTATTCATCTTTATATACCCCATAATATCTAGGATTGCTGCAGAATTCCTTTCTTTATTCTACCTTTTATTCTCCCTTTTCCTCCTCAAATATTTATTGAGCATCTGGTATACAGGTGGAACTAGGTGTTTGCTATTGGTGACAAATAAGCAAGTGTCTCCCCTCAAGCATGCTATGGATTGGGAACTTTTGTTGTTATGTGCCATCAAGTCAACACGACTCATAGAGACCCTAGACCCTATAATAATGGCAACCTCATTGTCTCAGATACATGTGAACCCATTGTCATAGTAATAGTCATTATGTCAATACATCTTATAATAAAGGGTCTTCCCCTCACAACATGTCCAAAGTATGTTAGATGAAGCCCCAGGATCCTTGCCTCCAAGGAGCAGCCTGGTTTAACCCTCTCTATGATGAATCTGTTTATTTCTTGGCAGTCCATGGTACATTCAATACTCTTCTCCAGCACCACAGCTCAAAGGCGTCAATTCTCCTGCTATCCTCCCTAGTCATTGTCCAACTCTCTGATGCATAACAAGTGATTACAAAAACCATGGCCTGTATCAGGT